AAAAACAAAAAATTAATTTGGATATCAGGATAAACTCCTAAAAAACCTCAAACAAAATCAAGATAAAACCCCTCAAAAAATCAGAATAAACCCTCAAAAAAAATCAGGATAAAACCCAAAATTTTCACAAAAAATCAGGATAAACCCTCAAAAAAACCCTTTAAAAAATCAGGATAAAATCCTCCAAAAATTTGGGATAAAACCCCTCAGAAAATCTGAATAAATTCCCTTAAAAAAATCAGGGTAAACTCCTAAAAAACCTCAAAAAAAATCGAGATAAAACCCCTCAAAAAATCAGAATAAATCCTCAAAAAAAATCAGGAAAAAATCCAAAATTCCTTCAAAAAATCAGGATAAACCCTCAAAAAAAATCAGGAAAAAATCCAAAATTCCTTCAAAAAATCAGGATAAACCCTCAAAAAAATCAGGATAAACCCTCAAAATCCCTTAAAAAATCAGGATAAAACCCCAAAAACTTCAGGATAAATCTCTTCCAAAAATCAGAATAAACCCTCAAAAAAAATCAGGATAAACCCCCCCCCAAAAAACTTTAAAAAATCAGGATAAACCCCCCAGAAAATCAGGATAAACTCCCCAAAAAATCAGGATAAAACCCAAAAAAAATCAGGATAAAACCCCAAAAAATCAGGATAAAACCCCAAAAAAATCAGAATAAAACCCAAAAAAATCAGGATAAAACCCCAAAAAATCAGAATAAAACCCCAAAAAAATCAGAATAAAACCCCAAAAAAATCAGAATAAAACCCCAAAAAATCAGAATAAAACCCCAAAAAATCAGGATAAAACCCCAAAAAAATCAGAATAAAACCCAAAAAAATCAGAATAAAACCCCAAAAAAATCAGAATAAAACCCCAAAAAAATCAGAATAAAACCCCAAAAAAATCAGAATAAAACCCCAAAAAATCAGAATAAAACCCCAAAAAATCAGAATAAAACCCCAAAAAAATCAGAATAAAACCCCAAAAAATCAGAATAAAACCCCAAAAAAATCAGAATAAAACCCCAAAAAA